GAACCTGCTGTAAAACAGCAATTATGCTGAGTCAGGCTTGATTTTTAGTAATCTTTTCTTGTTGAATCAACAAATCAAATCAAATCAAGTAGAATTTTTGGGTATCTGAAAGTGAGTAATTGTTTTTCAGCCTACTTTTTATTTTAAAAAGACAAGAAGTAGAAAATGGTTACTTTTATTTTGCTTGTTTTCATTCCATCTTGTTATTGTAAAAAATAAATTCTATCCATATAAATTGTGCCTCCTAGATAGAGTGAATTTAACTATGGCTGAATGAGAAGTATAAATATTTAAAATTCTGATACCGTATTAGGATTTGTTTGTACACAAACAAATCCTGTCACACTTCAGCAGGACATAATCATTAAAATAAAAGGACTGTACTTTAGAAGTATTTGTATTTCATGAATTATATTATTGCATTTGGCCCTCGGATAGATTTTTATTTTAAGGAAAAGGTTTGGGCAGCCTTGATATATGTATGTATATAAACTGAAACAGATAGACTAGTGCATCCTAAATTTAACATTATTTAGCAAAACTAAAACAAATACAAACATACAAAATGAGCATAAAAGCAATACAATAAAATAGGGATGCACAATAAATTGGCATTAATGTCAATATTAACGTCTGATATTAATTTCCTACTTTTTACTTTTGTGTTTCTGTTTGAGAGGGGAGATGGTTGATCAAGTGGTATCTGTTGGATCAGGATGGTGTTAGTGATGCTGCACAGCCAGGAGTAACTGAAGCAGAGAGTCATGTAGAGGTCTAAGTGCTTTTTTACGGAATTGAAAAAAAAAAGATCAAAGTGTGTTTGTGCGCATATCTTTATGAATAATTTGTGTGTTTGTGTAATATTGGTAAATATTGGTTATTGACCATAACAGCAATAATAATATTGGATATGGATATTGATTTAAATTTTCATATCGATTCATCACTACAATAAAACAATATAACTGATAAAACATTAAGWAATGCGTTTAGCTAAAAGCTTGTCTGAACAACAGTGTTTTAAGTAGCCTTACAGTAAATAATTAGTTTCAGCTACTACGTAACTAAACTTAGCTGAATGAGTTTTAATAGTTTTTGTGTTTATCTAAGGTCAATGTCAATTTTATTTATACAGCACATAAAAAAAAACAACAGAAGTTGGCCAAAGTGCTTCACAATTAAGCCAAATGAATAAAACAATTGAGCAACACATAAATATAGACAGTAAAATCAATTTAAAATACAGAAAAACATTAAAAACATCATTAAAAGAATCTCAAACTCTACCAGAATGAAAGGCCAGGGAGTAAAATTGAGTTTTAAGTAGAGATTTAAAAGCCTCAACAGTCTCAGCAGTCCGTATGCTAAGAGGTAAACCATTCCAGAGTTTTGGGGCAGAGACWGCAAAGGCCCGATCACCTCTAGACTTTAGCCTGGATCTAGGAACATCTAAGAGGAACTGGTTGAATGACCGAAGTGAAATGAACAGGAAGCCAATGGAGAGAAGCCAGAACCACGGATATGTGTTTGTATTTTTTAGTTCCTGTTAAAAGACGAGCTGCTGCGTTTTGGACAACTTATAATCGATGCAGAGAAGATTTATCTAAACCAACATACAAAGAATTACAATAATCCAAACACGATTGTAATGAGAGCATGAATCACTTCAGGTCACATAACTGTGGCAGTCAACTTGAACTGGATGCCTCCTAAAGTTAATCAGCTCTACATCCAATTATTCCTTTGASTTTCATTAAAATGCAACAGCTGGTTCATGAGATATTTAGCTAACACGACAAACACACACAGATGTTGGCAAAAACATCATTGCCCTTCTGCCTGCAGTRATGGGTAATAAAAATAAATCTGTTCTCCGGCAGTAATGTCTTTAAAAATAACATTCTCAAGTTTTTTTTTCTGTTTCCCCTCCTCCCGATATGGAAAAAAAAAGGACCATTTTACTTCTGACTAATAGCTCGCCCTTGTTGTGAACAGCATGGACTAAATTTATCTCCAACTGTTTTGCTTTTTCAGGATTCTTGGGAAGAGCTCCAGATCGGCAGCGTGAGGCTGCAGCGTGTGATGTCGTGTGGAAGGTAACGCCGCTGCTGCTTCACACCGTCGCTTCACTTAACAACACCAGGGAATCCAGATCAGCTGCTGGTGTTTAGGGTTCAGATTCCTGGAAGACAGAATTACCTGGTTTTACATGACTGAGCGTTAACTCACCTGTAATTATTAGTTTTATCTTGATTTCTTGCCAGATGTATTTTAACCACAGTTGACCCAGAGACGGGCACAATCACCAGGAAAGAACCTTTGGACACACTGAAAAGGTAACATTTCAACTGCAACAATAAGTAACCAGACCTGAATGATGACCTGCAGCATTAATTATCGCCCGCCTTTTACAAAAGCAACCTTTTATTTATTTATTTATTTTTTGTGTGTGTGTCTCTGTTAGCAAAATGTCTCACAACCCACAGGCTGAATCTTATTTAACTTGCCGGAAATAATCTTTTGGATGTTCGTCTACAGCTGTTTGAGTGAATTCACAGCTATTCAGCTTTCACCACCACAAAATTAGTTTTAACTGTGTCAGTTGTACAGATATTGATCTAAAGTGTGATGTGGTAGTATGAGATATTCACCACATCGATGCACATAATAATATAATTTTCCATATTGAAACAGACTTCTGGAGTAAACTGCTTGTAGAGCAAAATACTTTTAATTAATTCATTATAGCTAATTATTTTAATGGACGTTTCTAAACGTGAACACTAAAACACACAGAACTGCTTGTTTCTTGAACGTTTGACCTGTTGTTTGCTTTAATTAGTTCTTCTGCAAACCATGCCAGCTAAAACTCACAGCGCTTTGGCAGACTTTAGATTGTCCTTTTCTATTTCCCAAGAACAGATTATTTATATCTACAGACAGGTTTTATACAGCAGAGCATCCAAAAACAAACCAAACATTGGCTTTTTTTAAGGATAACCATAGATTCTCTAAAACGCTGCTTGTAGGAAGAGTTGACATCTGCAGCTCTGCCACAAGGTGTCACTAAACTCTACCTCTTTAACCCWCAGATCAGTAAAAATAATGTAATAAAGTGAGGATTTAAAGTTTGGAGGCTGAGACTGAGAGCAGTTTCTGTGAAGAACAAACACGTTTTAGATCCAACTGATGCAAGCACAGGTCAATTAATTGTTCAGTGGCTGAAGCTGATGTTTGGAAATCACAGCAACCAGTGGACAATTTATGAAGCCACTTTTTTGTTTGTTTTTGGCTCATAAATTTAACATTTTACTGTTGAAAATAAGTTAATCACGAATTCTTAAATGATTGGAAATTTTAGGTTGAGATGTTTAAAAATAAAAAAGCTGAACACTAGCTGGCAAAGAGATAAAAGTCTCACTTATCTAACTGAAAGCTAAATATAAAAAAGTTAGCTAAAAATAGAAAAAACTATCAAAAATGGCTAATATTTTAAAAAACATAGAAGTAGCAAAAGGGCTAGTTAAAACTTAAACGTAGCAGAAAGGTCTTCTTCGACAAAACGTCATCTGCATACAGTTTGAGTCCAACTCAAAGCAAATGATACATTAATGAGCAAATATTCTTTGAATGAATGCATATCGCTGCTTTTTATGTCAGAAGATCATCGTATGATGGAAAATGTCAAAGTTTTGGTGAAACCTTCAAAATGATATCATCCTGAGACGTCACGTTCAGAGTTTGGGCTGTGTACTTCTCCGCTCTCTGTAGAACTGACTGAGTTGTAGCCATTTTAGTGTTTGCTAATGTTGATTAGCTGTGGTGGCTCCATCAGTTGTGGAGGTACTTCAATGAATTGTTTCTTGTAAATTTCCTTAAATCAGTGCAACAGTTCATGAGATGTTTTCCTTACATAAAAGAGAAAAACACTGTTGCTTGCTTTGCATGTTGGTGGGCAGAAAAACAGTATGTGATGTTTTATTGCAGTATTTGTAAAATGAAATCTTCTAGGCACCTGCTTTCGCTCTGACTTCTTAAAGCAGTTTTTTTCCCCGTCTCATTCCTCCCAATGAAAACGTTCCTCCAGCTATCGACTGTGCAAACCATCTGAGAAGCACATCTACAAAGCGGCTCCGTTGTTTGGGCAGCTGCACACCGTGAAGAAGACGGGGATCCTGCATGTGGGAGACGAGGTTTACAAGATCACCCGCTGATGAGGAGGGGCGCAGATGAGAGGAAGTTTGGATCAAACTGAAGGGAGAAGGCACACTTCACTAATTCATACAAAATAACTACTTTTTAATACATGAATCAAAGATCAGAGCAAAGTGGAGCTACAGTTCAAACTAAACTGTTCAGTTGATCAAAGACTAGATGCAGTTTTTCAGAGCAGATGAAAGATTTTATCATGATTTAGTTTTGTACTTTAAGAAATATTTCTCCACTCAGTTGCATTAATCACTCTGCACTAATGAAACATGAATTAAATGCATTTGTAAAATCTGTTGTYTCCACTTCAATATTTCAGTGAGAAACAGGACCGTCTGGACGTACTGTTCTGTCATGTTGGGTAAATGATCWGTTTGTGTAATATTAAAACCAGTKTTATTTGTAAGGTTCATTTAAAAACAACTTGTTGGTCAAAGTGCTGAGCACAGTGCAAAAACAGCAGACTGAACATGAGACGATGTGGACCGGCCTGGACCTTGGGCCAACTAAAGACCCCGTATTTATAAAACTTCTTAGAATTACTCTTAAGAATGCTGTTAAGAGTGGACTTAAGTGTAACAAAAAATTCTTAGTTAAAAGCTGAGAGTAAAAGTCAGTTATCAGGCGTCTCAGTCTTACTTTAAGCAAAGTGTAGGAGTAATTCTTAAGTGTCAGTCTTAGAGCTGATTTGCGACACCTGGCTGTGCCGCAAAGCTGATCCTGGATGACGTCGTTAGAAAAAACACTGACATGGACCAATCACTGCCTCAGATTTCATGCTCAAGGATACAGTGGAGAAATGTCAAGATAAGACTGTGAAAATGCTGAGATACATTCAACGCACTAATGTTTTCACCTGGTGATTGTCTGTAAATGACATAAAATGTCCTCATTTGCAGCATGAAAACGGACGAAAATCTCACAATTTTTTTAAATCAAAAACTCAGCAGCTTTAAAGTTATTTTATGTCGCAGAGCCTGAGGTCGTGTTGAGCTGCTCCCTTCTCCTCTTCGCCACTGTCTGCAGACAACACTGGCTCTACACACAGACACACAATGCGCACACAACCCGCTCCGTCATTACCAGCTTGGTCCGACCCCCCACCCCCTCCATCATTGTATCACGTGATTGTTTATCTAATAAACGAAACGTTCAATCCCACCGTAATTTTAATTTCTTTCTTTTTTGGGGGGGGCATGCACTCACCAGCTGAGTAAATTTAGTCCAACATTATGCGTAGTTTTTTTTATATTTTACCTTTGTTTCTTTTGTATATTTCAGATTAAACCCGTTTATAACAGAGACAGTCAGGTGGGCAGGAGGACAGCTGTA